CTCCCTCCCTCCCTCCCTCTCTCCCCCTCTCCCTCCCTCTCCCTCCCTCTCTCTATCTCTGCCAGTTCCATTCTCTCTCGGAGTTCCCGTCCCGAGGACCAGCCCATAGATTTCCACTGCTCTCCTCTCCTCTGCCTTCTGTGCAGCCACTGGCACTAGGCCCAGCTGTTCCTCCTCTTCTTCATCAGCCACCTCCAGACCTGAGGGCTGTTGACTCTCCACCTGAGGGCTGATGGATGGTGCAGGCTCCGCCTCTCTCTCTCTTTCTCTCTCTGTCTCACTCTGTCTCTCTCTCTCTCTCTCTCTCTGTCTCTCTCTCTCACACACTCTCTGTCTTTCTTTCTGTTTGTCTCTGTCTCTCTCTGCCAATTCCATTCCCCCTTGGAGCTCCCATCCCAAGGACCGGCCCATAGATTTCCACTGCTCTCCTCTCCTCTGCCTTCTGCACATCAGGCACTGGACCTGATTGTTCCTCCTCTTCCTCATCAGCCACCTCCAGACCTGGGGGCTGTTGACTCTCCATCTGAGGGCTGACGGACGCCTCAGGCTCCGCCTCTCTCTCTCTCTCTCTCTTTCTCTATCTCTATCTCACTCTGTCTCTCTGTCTCTGTCTGTCTGTCTCTCTCTCTCACACTCTCTGTCTTTCTCTCTGTATGTCTCTGTCTCTCTCTGCCAATTCCATTCCCCCTTGGAGCTCCCGTCCTGAGGACCGGCCCATAGATTTCCACTGCTCTCCTCTCCTCCGCCTTCTGTGCATCAGGCACTGGACCCGGCTGTTCCTCCTCTTCCACATCAGCCACCTCCAGACCTGGGAGCTGTTGACTCTCCATCTGAGGGCTGACGGACAGCCCAGGCTCCGCCTCTGTCTCTCTCTCTCTCTCTGCCAACTCCATCCCCTCTTCCCCCTTGGAGCTCCCGGGTTGTCCTGATGCCGACCCTGACTCCCACGCCTCCTCCTCCTCCTCCTCCTCCTCCTCTGATTTGGCTGCTGGAGGGGCCGACAGGCCACAAGGGGTGCACCCTTAGACTCAGTCTCTCCATTTTGAAAACGTCGAGACTTCAACTCTCAAGAGTTCCCCAGCTGGCATGCCTTGTAGGCCACACCTCTTACGGCCTCAGAGGTTGCAAAATTTAGTCCTTGAAGCATTGTCATTGTGGGTTGTTCATTTTTGGTCCTTTGTGCTCAGTTTCAGAAAACAACTTCCCGTCAAATTCTCCTGGATTTTCCCAACCACCCCGACACCTTCCCGAAAGCACTTCCTACGGCAAACTCAGACCTGTAAGTTTTAAGCTGGGCCTCAGAGCGA